TCCATCCATCCATCCATCCATCCATCCATCCATCCATCCATCCATCCATCCATCCATCCATCCATCCCATTCCTATTAGGTGTGGTTTCTACGACGCAGGGAAATTACAAGAAATTGAACGATATTAATATGCGTAACCCGGGTGTTTTTATCTTTGTAGTCTTGTGACTTTGTGGGACCGCAGGGATCAATACTATAATTCTATTATTACAATAAAATACCACAAAAAGAACCGTAAAAGATCAACTCACGTAAGAACCATATCATTTGTAATAATAATAATTGAAAAAAATAAAACAGTAAAGAGATTCAAGCTGCATTGGTAATAAAATACCGCCTTCCTCACGAACTCCTGTCATTTGTGTTGAATTTCTTTTCGGCTTTTTTTATGCTGCTTTTTTATGATATTTTTTAACAGCACTGGTTCTGGCACTGGTATAGATAGAGCCCCCCGAGCCCCCCAGTTCATGGGTTTCCTGTGGTAAATTTCTCGAATTTCTGTCGTCAGAGATTCGGACAGTTTTCGTTTGTTTGACGTCACTATAGCAACAAAAGAGCGGCCATATTGGATTATTTTCGTAACAGTTGAGCAAGAAAATAAGTAGAAACTTAAAAACAAGCAAAATGACTTGACAACAAAATTGCCTTGAAGTTTAATTCTACTTTGAAGTAATGAAGCAACACTTCTAAAGGGTTTATTCAGAAAATTAGCGTCGTTTCCTTGCTATAAAGGTTGGTATTTGGTTTTGTTGTGGATTAAAGAGCAAAAACATTTCGCATTTTGGGACTGATAAGACGTCAGTATTTTTTAATCCTTTCTTTTATATAACATTTGGGAGTTTTTAGCTTCAAATTTCAAGCTGTGATACATATTTAAAAGCGTTGTTTACGAATCGATTGACATTTTTTGGTGTGGTAGGGCTAATGCACTTTTTAAAAGCTTATTACTGTAACGTCGTACGTAACAACGTGATGCAAACGAACAGTCGCAATGAATTCCAATTTTCTTTCTTTGAACTCCTTAATTTTATAAAACCAATAAATTACAAAATATTGCTTTAACCTAGTTATATTTTATATGACTAAAAAATTTTCCCTTTAGATGTCAGTCAGTAGAGAGAAAGCTAGGCTGACCAATTCAGCCAGCCAGCTACCAAGACTGCCTCCTATAGGGTCACCTACTACACCAAGCAGCTCTAAACTTGATAACAGCCGATTGAGGACATACAGAAGAAGTGAACAGATGCAAGACCTTCTTGCTGATATCCTGTATGTATTGATTATACATAGGGACCATGGAGACTTTGGGAGGGAGGGTTAGGGGTTGTTGCATAGCCATCTTAGCCCCATCAACCCATAACATGCATGGATTATAATTACCAGGCAAGGGAACGGGGTTGGGGGTGGGTGGGGATGCAGAGGGTTAAATTCTACTTGAAATCTTATTTTTGTTCCCTAGTACAGGTTTTACAGGTCTTTTCTCCCCTCCTCACTGCTATATAGCAAACTTCTCTTATTAGGGGGGCTGAAGGGTGATGTATACTTTATTATAATTTATTATTATGGTTCATTTGAACATCTCACAGATATCAAAAAGCAGATGGTTCTTTAAAGGATACGGTGGAAAGCCTTGAGAGGAAACCATTTCCTCCAGGGGAGCCAGACCTACCTTCACAGGTAACTCATTATAAAGCGCTTCCTCTGAAAAATCTTGGTGCATTCATGACAACAGATTTTCCTTTAGTTTTCAWTTTTCCATTCACCAGATGAGCATGTTATTTAACAGATCAATAATATTACMTTTTTCTAAACTTTTTTGTTCTGGGCTTTATTTGTTTTCGTGGTCTGCTTCCTGTGTCATACATTTGATTGGTTCTTACATGCATGTATATTTTGTAATTAACTTACAGATGATGAGCTCTGAAAGAAGAATCAGGGTAAGTATTATTAAAGTGTTCCTTTAATAACCAGGCTTCTAGGACTTCTGATTTCTTGAATAATCATAATCTTCTGACCTATATACAAAGTACTAATGAAGTAGCAATCCAAATAGCATGATTGTTTTTGCATTCTCAATAAGCTTTCTTTCTTGTCAATAATACAATAAAATTTAGTGCAGCAAACAGCATTTATTTCTTCATTGGTTTTGATGTTATGTTTAAATAATCATAATCTTCTGACCTATATACAAAGTACTAATGAAGTAGCAATCCAAATAGCATGATTGTTTTTGCATTCTCAATAAGCTTTCTTTTTTGTCAAAAATGAAATAAAATTTAGTGCAGCAAGCAGCACTTTTTTTTTTTTATTGGTTTTGATGTTATGTTTAAATGAATAAATGGTGGATCCATAATTATAACAGCTTTTATAAATTTCCATCTTCATAGCTGTTTATAGCCTAATATGTAGAATGTGTGTTTTTTTAGTTGAATTATCACTATTTAAAGAAGTGTGTGCAAGAAGGACCTGTAACGCCGATGGCACAGAAATGGTGGGATACTATCCTTACCATGATCCCATCAAGACTTGTTCAGTCGCCATGGTTACAGTCATACATTGATGAACTGCATCAAGAAATCGAAAAGGAATATGAAGCCAGTATGAAGAAATCGATGGGTTAGTACTATACATGCTTTATTTTGTATCAATGCGCTGGTCATCACATGGCAGGGACCTCTATAGCATGGCAGGAGGGATGTCTGCAATGCTGGATGATGACACAAGCAGGTTTACAAAATGGTTTTTCATGTGCTCTCCAYCATCCTCGCCATCATCATCCTCCCTAGAACATTAGTTGACACATAAAAAAATGTTTTGAAATCCTGCTCATGTCATCGTCTAGTGTTGCCACCCTCTCTACTGTTGTGGATCTCTTAGGGCCCCTGGTACATGTACATGTATAGGACATATACAGTAGGGGTATACTAGAAAATACTAGGCAGTCAACGGCCACTCTTTGCCACCTTGCTTCCTCTYCACACATGCCTAGACAGGAAATAATTACTCAACTAAATTTGAGGGGAAAAGAGGGACTTTATACTACAATAGGGAAGGGCAGGGGCCAGAGGGGTTAAGTAAAATTGGGAATATGTCATAAATGTGTTCAAAAATTGATGCATTATTACCGTATTCATTACACTAGTACAACACATTCTTGTGAAACCTAAAGTAAAGGGAGTGGAAGGAGATRAAGATTTACCTGAAGATGCTGTGTAAGTAGCATTAATTGAGAAACTAAAAAAATGTCTTCTAACATAAATGACATGAGATTAGGTGCTTGTAGAATATTTTGAATATAATAGATATCTTCCTGAAGATGTTACTAATGATTCCAATATTGTTTATTTACAGGGGTTTGGATTTCTCCAGTCCATGGAGAGACAGTTTCAATGCAGCAAGAGATATGATCAAACAAAACTTACATATATTACATCCATCTATGCAGACTATACTGAACATCTGTCAGAGTAGGAATTATGCATCAATGCTCATCACTGACCAATCGGGCCTCAGGTAAATGTTAAAAAAATTCTTAAACAACATCATCAGTGGTTATTGGAAAAAAATTGCTTTTTTTAATGTCAATTATTCTTGCTGTTTACCTGTTTACCAACATATATACATGGTTATCTGTATTCTAAATTTGAATTTGTGAAAATAAATGTTTTGCAGAAGTCAAGGTCCTATCGAGTGTGAGCATTTGAAAAATAATGTCACTCTGGATTGTGAGAAAACAGATGAAAAACTCATGCACAGGTAAGTAACACCATAAATAACAGCGTACCTCATAGTTAACCTTCATTTCTGATAGGCTGTGAAACAAAGCTGCTTCTTAACCTTCTTTTATCAAAGTTATTGGCTCGTATGTGCCACAATATGGCACCATTGTAAAATTAAAAAGTGGTTTTAGGAATGTTATTTTACTYGTWAAGTTAAGTAAGTGSACATTRGTAATATTACTAATGTGATGTTGGTTTATATGTTTCAATAGTTGGTTCCCAGAGGTGGTGAATGTTTTCATAGACAAAAACATGTTAAAGCATCTCAGTACCAGCCAGACTGATGCATTTTACAACAGTGTCTCAGTTCTAATCTCCAATCAGGTGAGTATATTTCAGACTTCATCAGATTCCTAGAATGTGGAGTTTAGATTTAGTCCTTATTTCACAACCTAACCCCTTGGGCAAGGCGAGAATGCTGTCAAAAACATTTCTTGCTGGTTTTTATTTTTCTTTACTAATTTTTATGCCATTGTGTAGTTCCAGAAATTATCCATACCCATCTCACGGAGGAATTTGGAATTTCTGAAGGGTGGCGGGGTCAGAGAAAAAAAAAATTACAGAGTTTGTATGGAAGAAAATTGGAATTTCTGGGGGTAGGGGGAGTGTCTTAAAAAATTCCTCTGTGGGGGGGGGTATGGATAATTTTTGGAACTACGCATTAGGATTAATCAAGAGTGGCATAGTGCTAATGCACTTGCCTCTCACYTGACTCACACTGTTTGAGGTATTCATAAAATTGGAAGATTGGAAGATTTAACTTGCACTCGTTACTACTTATCTTGCAGCTGAATGATATGATAACCAGGACAATCATGGCCTGGGAATCTTTGTTTCAAGAGAACAACAAAAACATGCTACCAATGTTTAAGATGGAGTTAATCCTTGATGATGACGATAACATGCAGTTCTACCCAGTCTTGAGTGATGTAGAGGGAGCTGTCCTCCATGTGGTTGATACTGTTGCTAATACTATGCAGAGTGTTCCKACTGTACAGGTACATTATATCACATTGTTCTACGCAGCATTAACCTATCCCTTTGCATCACCTTAGTCTGGCTTTGGGGAGGGGGGAGGGGAGCTCCCTCTTCCCTTCTCCCCAATCCCCCTTCCCCTCTATAAAGCACCGCTATGCAGGCTAGCATCAGCTGTTACCTAATGTTTAGTCACATCACATCACATATCACATTGCCTGTCATTTCATGTCATGTCACATCACCTGTCACTTCACATAATGTCACCACACAACAYATCACATGAGCATGCATTGCATACTGTACCTAGAGATCACAAAATTCATGACATAAATATACGATAATAATAGTTGCAGACAGGAACATTTTTTATGTTTATATTTACAGTCCCAATAACAATGTTGTCACTTTGCTGCATGCAAATGATGATGATAAATTTAATATCCACTTTTACAGTAATTGGGAGACTATGAAGATCTCTTACCAGATATAGATATAGATACAGTACCTATATGCCTTTCTCAGCATTAGGGTCATAGTGATCATACCCAAAATGAGGGGGCGGAGCCTTAAAGGAAAGGTAACATTTTCATTTAATTAACTGATATGCATATTATGTTTCAGTCTTGGTTGGCTGGTGGCAATACAGTAAACCATGTAGATGCCAAAATAGATGAAGCTGTTCTTCAGAAGTGTAAAGTGTTTCTCAAACAAGCCGTGAAGRAAAACCTTGAGCAGCCAGTTGAATACCTCCATTCTTTTGGTGAGTTATTTAGACTTTAAATAAATTTTGTTGCTAAAAGTGTACACATACTCCTCAATGTGTCAGTGCCTCAGTTCACTTTAATATTTCATTGGTCCCTCCTGGCAAGTAAAGTCCTGCCTATGCTAAAAAGACCTTCTTGGCACAAGATAGCTAATAGATAGCCACCACCATCCCACCCCCCCCCCTCCCCAAGAAAAAAAGCAGGAAAATAGAGTGCAAAATACTTTCCTTTGTGTCCATGGTGTAGTCAAGTGTGTATATTTTACGTCTTGTTTCTTTTATTCAGTGTGAATGAAAGTTTATTTTTTTCCTCAACAGACAAGTACGACAACCTTGTTTCAGGAGAAGCGAGAAGACTAATCAATGAATTTATGGCAGCAGATCATTCTTTTGAAGAGTACACACAGGTAATTTATACATAAATGGACATAGTCCAGCCGTTMTAGATAAGGTCTTCCCCTTTAGCATAGAAAAGAAAAGAAAAGAAAATAATGTCCATAATGTTAACAATTAAAAAATGTTTTGTTTCCAGGAAATCCATMGATATCGGTCACTTGCCCGAGAAATAAACAGCTTACCAACCATAGCCTACTTCGATATGGTCCAGTTAGACTGTGATGATCTTAAGAGAGGACTCGCAAGTAAAGCCAACAAGTTTGCTGATGAACTCCTCAATAAATTAGCTGAAGAACACCGCTCTGAAAACAAACGAATCATCTCCGAGTATGAATCGATTAAAGAAAAGGCTATGCGAGTACCAGAAGACACCAAGGAAATGATCGAACTGCAGAAATTTGTGGAGGAAGCAAAGAGTMAAGGGCTTGTTAAGCTTGGAAACGATATCAAAGTAAGTAATTGTGATATATTAAAGAAAATTTTCGTATCCATGGATGGTTAAGCAAGATGTTGACACCCCAGAGACTGGGTTGGGTCACTCAGGGTCTTAGAATATCTGGTGGAAGGGAATTTGCAATTTCACGTGCTGGCAGCCCTACAGCCTTTCTTTTAACTCCGTTGGATGGGCATTGGCCTCTTGTGAGGGAGGTTATGTTCACATTAATGGGGTCATCTAAAATATCTGATTAGAAGWAGGGGTTTGAGAGATAACCTGATGGCAGCCTTGACAGCAATTGAAATCTCTTCCCCTGATTTGAATATCTTTGTTGTTTCAGCCATCTAATATGGCAACCTTCTAACCTAATATTATGAAAGAAGCGCACATATTCAATATTATGTTATACTCTATCTAGTATCTGTATCTAACATCTGTGGTTGCTATGGTTTCTTCTTCCAGGAATCGTTCAACAGGCTATCGTATCTCCTGGATGTYTTTACCTTTACACAAGAAGACATGGAAGTCAATTCTGTGGTGCTGAACTGGCCCAAGGCTATTGATCCCATCTTCGATCTTAATGACGAGGTGAGTCYGAACTGCATCACTATGGTTACCAGGTTACCTTGGTGACTACTTCATACCGAGCTATTTRAGCTACTTACAAAACTTTTATAAACAAAAAATAAAATGGTGGTATTCATAACCTAAGTTACATCGTGAATAAGATTTGTTTTTTTTCCCAATTTTTTGACGACGTAGATTGTCGCTGGAGCACAGAAGAAGAATGAGAGTGCTTTGCTCGAGAAGCGAGAAAAAGTCATGCTGGAGCTATCAAAACTCAGCAGGTAAGATATAACATTTATATGACCATCATACGGCATCATCGTTGGTGTGGATTATTGCCCCATTGACGCCGCTATCATTGTTAATGATTGCTGTCTTGTTGATGAGTATGATTGTTGTTTTGTATAGACGTGTAGAAGAGTTCAAGGAATGCGGTGATCTAGACATGATGGCACAGTATATCAAGGACGTCCAGTCTGTACAGAAGAAACTAAGTGAATCCGTTGAAACCATTGGATTCATCAATGAGGTACACTAAACCTAAGTTTTTATATTTTATGACWGTTAGGTTAGTTTTCTTAACGCCCGTTCATATTATGGTCATGACTCGTAGGAAGAAGACCTGTTCAAATGGGAATGTACTGACTATCCTGAAGTGGAGGCAATCACCAAAGCTATCGAGCCTTATCARAAGCTCTTCTCTGTGGTGGTTAAATGGCAGAAGTCCGAAAAGAAATGGATGGATGGTGCTTTCCTGGAACTGAATGCTGAAGCAATAGAAGCAGAGGTAATCAGGACTATTTATTAGGCTAAGCGCAACTTGTCGTGTTGCAAGTTAAAGGCCCAGTGTTCCCACTCCGCGTGCAACAACATTCTTATAATAGATTGGGAAGCCTGTGGTGTGAGTGGACGGTTGGGAATGTTTCTATGTTTGCTCGCGCGCAGCCTTCTGACGTAGTTTACAAATGTTACGTCACAATAGACTAACTCTACATTCCCGCCATGCTGCAAAAACAAGCCAGCCACTCACTAGTTCTCTCTTTAAAAATTTTCTATACTTTACTTTTTTGTTTAAAATTTTCGTTTGTTGATTCCATTATACATTGTTTTATTGTATTGAAAAGGATAGTTATTACAATATTTTCATTTAGTTAGCGTTAGATGGGGAAAAATTGCATAGATGTATTAAAAAAATCGTTTCTCGTTTTGATCTTATCAATATGAKAATTTTTTTCTGGTTCAATATCTCTTTAAAGGAAAATACCTTTATTACTTTATGCTTTATATTTATTAGGTTGAAGAATTTGGTCGCGAGATGTACAAAAACGTTAAGATYTTCCAAGTGATGAAGAAAGAAGARGAAAAGGARAAAAAAGCAGCAAGAGGTCGTATCAAAGATTCCAAAGATAATGAAGAGGAAGTAACCGAACTGGCCGGCATTAAAGTTGGTCAAACTGTACAACAACAGATCAGAGATTTCAAGGTTTGTGTTTAATGGAAGTCATTAACTTTGTACTACGTAGCAATTTTTGTTGTTTTGAATTTATAATACACTCAAATTAAACTAAAAATGCTAGTCCCGTGTATACAAATACAAAAGCGCGCGTTCTTTAAGGGGTTGTGCTATGGGTTTACTTGTCGAATATGGGTCGCAGGGATTGTATGAATTCTCATATTTAAAAATGTCCTGGTCAGTCTAAATGGATGAATTTTAATGTAGGATTTCTGCGTAGTTCAATCCCTTCTCTATTYACTCTTTTTCRCATTCACCATCTTGTCGATCAGGCATTTCATTTCAAATTGTCGTCAATTCTTAGGAACACATCCCGCTGATTGGTATCATGTGYAATCCTGGTATTCGTCCTCGTCATTGGAAGGCTATGTCAGAGATTGTTGGATTTGATGTYACTCCAGATTCAGGTTCAACTCTGCGCAAAGTGCTTAAGCTCAATCTTGGTCCGTTCTTGAATGWATTAGAAGGAATAAGTGGCGGTGCTAGTAAGGTAAGGGTTTGTCGTCTTTCTTGTTTGCTTTCTGCGGGAATCTTTTATAGTATCAATATTCAATATTCAATTTGCAGCTGCATAAGTTGCTTCATATACTGCGAGGATCAGCTCAACTTGATGAAACCTATTTGATATATTTTCTTTATATATATCTAAAAAAAATGTCCATGATTTAACTTTAACAGGAATTTTCGTTGGAAAGAGCAATGCAGCGCATGGTCGATGACTGGGATGCTATTATCTTCAATACCACCCAGTACCGAGACACAGGTGTGTCTATTTTGGCTGCTGTAGATGAAATCCAGACAACACTTGATGATCAGATAGTCAAGACRCAGACCATGAGAGGATCGCCTTTTATTAAACCATTCGAAACTGAAATCAAGGTTTGTGCTGACAAATATTGTTTAATCCTGTGATGGAGCGGATTTTATTCACGTGGGCGTGGATTTTAATCCATATGTGCTACTGTGTTGTACTCAAGGATTGAAAAGTGCATTGGTTGTGTCTTGAGATCGTTATACACTTACCTAAAAACAGTATTTATAAAAGGGAGAAGGTTTTGATTTATATGTTTATGTGTGTTTGCAACGCGGTCTGCGGCTTCGAATGGGGGTAGGAGGGAGAGGAGGAGGGGGGCTAGAGGCAACTGCCAAGCCTGTAATTACATTGTTTTTAACCTGATAGGTCCCATTCATACACTAATAGAGACTTTGGTTGATGATTTCTTACACGTTRTTCTAGGCCTGGGAAGAGAGGTTGTTAAAGATGCAAGAGATCATTGACGAATGGTTAAAAGTACAGGCACAGTGGTTGTACCTAGAGCCTATCTTCAGCTCCGAGGACATCATGCAGCAGATGCCTGAAGAAGGAAGGAAGTTCAAGACTGTTGATCGGAATTGGAGAGATATCATGAACTATGTAGCTAAAGATGCAAAGGTATATGCCTCTCCCAGGGTCTCACTMGTGCACAACCTTTTATTAATAGGTCACGCGACCTTGCCGACTTTAGACCAAGCGGTATTCTGAAAATCAAACCCAGAAATAGAACTAAGAGCTGGCACCTTAGTGGGATGGACTCCTGGTTACGGATGATAATCTATTCGTACTGATAGCCGATGATAGCCGATGATAGCCGATGATAGCCGATATTTAAAAAACGCGTAGTTTCAGCTTTAGAGGGCCCCTGGGACATTTGATTGGCGAAACTGATGGGATCCCTGTGGCTTAATTATTGGTAAGTAGTAGTATYGATATGATGGGTGCAATATCTCAGAGTATGTTCTTATTTTCCAGGTGCTGCATGCTACTGCAATGCCAAACATGTACGAGCGTCTGAAGGACAGCAATAGCCTGCTTGATGAAATCAACAAGGGCCTAAACGCYTATCTGGAAAAGAAACGACTCTTCTTCTCCAGGTCTGAACTAATACCTTCTTGTCAGTCAAATATTTTGAAATTAATGTTGTAAATATGTTGAAGCATTTTATGATAAAAAWTGGAATGGTATCCTAATCTCAATTACGGAAGGTCGTGATAGTCACCTCATCTCCGATCCACCATTTGAGGATTTATGAGGATTATATCGATTAGGCGTTTGGCATACGATGATGGTGATGATGGTGGTATTAGATCGTAAAGATGATGATGATGATGTTTATTTTGATGAGGATGATGATAATGATGAGGATGATGATGATGGTGATGATAATGGTATTAGATCGTAAAGATGATGATGATGATGTTTATTTTGATGATGATGATGATGTTGATGATGATGGTATTAGATGGTAAAGATAATGATGATGTTTATTTTGATGTTGATGATAATGATGATGATGATGATGATGATGTATGTAGGAATATTATCCATTGAAAGAAACGCCAACATATCTTGAGCTATTCACCATAATNGTTTATTTTGATGTTGATGATGATGATGATGAGGATGATGATGATGGTGATGATAATGGTATCAGATCGTAAAGATGATGATGATGTTTATTTTGATGATGATGAAGATGAGGATGATGAGGATGATGATGATGGTGATGATAATGGTATCAGATCGTAAAGATGATGATGATGTTTATTTTGATGAAGATGAAGATGAGGATGATGAGGATGATGATGATGGTGATGATAATGGTATCAGATCGTAAAGATGATGATGTTTATTTTGATGTTGATGATGATGATGAGGATGATGATGATGATGATGGTATTAGATGGTAAAGATGATTTTGATGTTGATGATGATGATGATGATGATGATGATGATGATGTATGTAGGAATATTATCCATTGAAAGAAACGCCAACATATCTTGAGCTATTCACCATAATTCTCTCTTTTTGTCATAGATTCTTCTTTCTGTCCAACGACGAAATGCTTGAGATCCTGTCCGAGACAAAGGATCCATATCGGGTGCAACCACATCTCAAGAAATGCTTCGAAGGCATCGCTAAACTTGAATTTACGCCTTCTCTGGATATTACGAGCATGTTCAGCAGTGAGGGCGAAAAGGTTTGTTGTGTCACTGATATAAAATTATACTATACTCGCGTCTACTTAATCTTCCTCGCATCCTGACGACCGACACTAAAAACGGATGCGAGGGAGACTAGCGTCTACGTAATTACCCAAGAAAATAGAGCAGAATTTAAATGATAGCAAAAGAATTATGCGCGCGCTGCTGATAAGGTTTCATTGGGCTTGTTCTTATCCATTCAGAGTTATGCGCAACTCCCAGAAAAAAGACTGGGGTCACAAAAATTTACCAGAGACTTTGTTTTTAGGTACCTCTGAGTGAAGTAATCTCGACAACAGAAGCACGTGGTGCCGTAGAGAAATGGCTGTTACAAGTACAGGATATCATGCTCCTCAGTATTAGAGACATCATCGAGAAATCCGTCCAGGTAAGATGTATTTGTCATACGATTATCGTTTTAACTTTT